CATTCCAGCTGCTACCTGCTCCTCATTAGGGCATTGCACAACCCTAGCCAGCTGCCCGGTAGCAAACGCGACGTCCGGTCGGGTGTTTACCGCCGCATACATGAGGCTGCCCACCAACGAGTGAAATCGGCGCCTCTCCTCTTCACCAACGCTCTCCTCCTCTGGTCCCTTCACACACTTGAACCCAGAGGGAAAGGGTGTAGCCACATGGCCTTCACTTTGCCCAAAGTTGGCAGCCAATGCCTCAAGGTACTTTCGTTGATGCACCCGCATGCACCGCTTCTCCACATCTCGTTCGATGTGGAGCCCAAGGTAGAAGCTCACGTCACCAAGGGCCTTGCACTTGAACTTGTCTTGAAGCTTCAGCATCACCTCCTTCACAAGGTCAGAAGAGGGTGAGAAAATGAGGATGTCATCCACATAAACCACCATGAAACTCCTCTGCTCCCCCTCGCCAAGCATGAACAAGGAGTGATCGGCCGTTGAGGGAGTGAAGCCGATCCCCTCCAACACTTCGCGCAGCTTCATGTACCATTGCCTAGGGGCCTGCTTCAGCCCATAGAGGGCCTTCTTCAGCTTCCACACTCTGCCACTACCATCATCAAACCCCTCTGGCTGCGCCATAAAAATCTCCTCCTCAAGGATGCCGTTAAGGAATGCCGTTACGATGTCCATTTGCTTTACTACCCATCCTTTGATGGCGGCTCCCGCGAATAGGGTTCGCAGCGTCGTTGGCTTCACCACAGGGGCAAACAGCTCCTTGAAGTCCACCTTCTCCTTCTGCTGGTACCCCTTGGCTACAAGCCTAGACTTGTAGCGCTCGATCTTGCCGTCGGCATCCGACTTGATTTTGAAGAGCCACTTGGACGTTATCGCCGTACGCCCCTCCGGTAGCTCCACCAATTCAAACGTGTCATTCTCCTCGATGCTCTTCAGCTCACTCTCCATGGCCTTCTTCCACTCCTCAGCATCACTACTCTCCAAAGCCTCCTTGAGAGTTGCTGGTTCTCCCGGCATCTCCACCGGAGAGAAGAACGCGAAGGCACACTCCTCGTAGTCACTCTCCTCGTCGTCTCCGACCATCATTGCCGCTCCGACCAGGGCTGTCTTGCCCTGCTTTCCCGGCGCATCATAGGTCAGCCTATTAGGGGGTTGAACTCTCCTCTTCCCCCTTCCTTCCTCCTCAGCTGCAGGGACTTGAAGGCCTTGGCGTTGCTGCGGTGTGGCTCGAATCCGTGGAGCACTCGTAGTACGGGAAGGGAGTGACGGTGCACGCTCGCTCACTTGCTGCACCTCCTCCTCTTCTTCCTCTGCATCATTGGCCTCCTCTCCCCCATTCACAAGGGAGGATTGCCTTGTGGTTGTGCTGCCGCTGCTCAGCTCCAAAGGCAGCTCCACATGCTCCAAACCGGAACTCTTCACCTCCCCAAACCGCACGCCTATCTTCGCCTCATTCTCCGCCTTCCAATCCTTGTACATGAAGTTCTCCATGAACTTGCAGTCCCTGCTCACCAAGAACTTCTTGGTGAATGGGTCCCAAAGAAGCCATCCCTTGCTGTTTTGAGCCATGCCCAAGTGCACGGCCCACACCGCCTTGGCACCAAGCTTGTTGTGCCGAAGATGCTTAGGCACGAGCGCCATGCACATGCACCCGAACACCCGAAGCATATCCACCTTTGGCTTCCTTCCTAGCCACTCCACATAGGGCACCCATTTGTCTGCTCCCACATGAGTCAAGGCTCTGTTCTTGGCCACACACGCGCTCCGCACCGCATCAGGCCAGAAATAGTCGGGTAGCCCGGCTTCAATAAGCAACCCGCGTGCCGCCTCCGTGATTGTGCGGTTCGCTCGCTCGGCGATGCCGTTCATTGCAGGGGAGTATGGCATGGTGAGGGAGTGCCGAATACCATTCTTCTTCAGCCACAACCCAAACTCCTTGCTCAGGAACTCTCCCCCTCGATCGGTGCGGATTGACTTGACTAGACGGTCTTGTTGCCGCTCCACCATCGGGAACCAATCCGTCTTCAACGTTTCAGCCATGTCGCTCTTCTTGGCCAGCACGTACACCCAAGTCATGCGGGTGTAGACGTCGACAATGGTGAGAAAATACTCAGCTCCAGCAGCTCCAAGCTTCAGGGGGCCCACCACGTCCATCACCACCTCATCAAGCGGTGCCTTTGCCGTTGCCTCCGAACTAGGGAACGGAAACCGGGTGAACTTGGCTTGAATGCACGTCGGGCAGCCAAGCACCTCATCGGGCTCCCCCTTCACACGTATGCCAGCAACCATCTCATTCTTCACTAGCTGCTGCAAGATGGGCAGGGCCACATGCCCCATGCGCCGATGCAAGGTGAGCCAATCACACTCCCCCGTAGCCGAAGTTGGATTGGAGAATGCCGCGCTCGCAATAGCGCCCCACATACTCTCTCCGTAGTCCTCCTCCGCTGCTGCCTCTGGGTTCTCCTCACCCTTTTGCTGCTCCTTGGTTGCTGCACCACTCTCCTTAGGTTCACTGAAATTGCTGGTCCCTCCAGGTTTGCTCTTCTTGAGCTCATTCTCCTTAGCGCGACCGTTCGCGCCATCGTCGCTACCGACCGCTCCATCCTTGGTGCTGATGCTTGCTGCCACTTGCCTCTCCTTAGGCATAGGGACCACTGGGATCTGCCACATCTCGTTGTAGACATCCCTGTCCTCATGAAGGTCCCAAAGAATTCGATCGCCAAGCCTTGCGGTGTAGGTCTTGGCTCCCTTCGAGTTCGTGTCCATGCCGGCCTTTGCCAACCGCCGCACGGAAATCAGGTTTGCAGCAAGGCTGGGCACCCAAAGCACGTTCTTGAGGCCCACCATCTTCCCATCAGCACCCTTGAACATGGCCTTGCCCATGCCTTTCACCTCTGCTCGCTGCCCCAAAGCCGATGTGACATGCTTCACCGGTGACGGCTCGAGTTCGGTGAGCAAGTCCGGGCGAGGTGTCATGCTATAGGTAGCGCCACTATCAATCACCCAATAGTCCAGGGGGTGTAGGGTCACCTTCCCCACAGCTGCTGGCTCCTCAAAGCCTTCATCCTTCTCTGGACCAGCCGGTACTTGCGTCGACACGAAGTAGAATAGACCCGGGTATCGATCGTCGCTCGGGTCCTTGTCGTTGTCTCCGCTCTTCATGTTTGCAGCTCCGCCACCGCGACCGCCACGGCCTCCACGGCCTCGTCCTCTCCCTCCTCCTGCTCCTCTACCCTCTTGGCCTTGAGCAGGGGTCCAACCATCAGGGAGTTTGTAGCAGTCGCGCCACATGTGTCCGCTCTTGTGGCAATAGTGACACTCGCCGTCGAATCGGCCGCGACCGCGTCCGTAGCTCTTGTCGTCGCTGCCATAACCGCCACTCCTGCGGCCTCCGCCGAAGTTGCTGCCACCAAACCTTCCTCCCCCTCGTCCTCTGCCTCTTCCTCGACCATATCCACGGCCGATGCTCGCTGCCCCAGCGCCATCCGCACTCGCCAACTCACGGCGGCGGAAATCCTCTTGAAGGATAGCTCGCTTCACGTCTTCAAGCGAGAGGCGGGGCAAGTCGCGATTAAGGTTGATGATGAGCGAGGACCATGACTCTGGGAGTAAGGCCAGCAACTTGGTCTTATTTTGGAGCTCACTGTAGTTCAAATCAGCTCCCTCAAGCCGCGTCAACAAGTCGAAGAATTTCTGCACCCCTTCTTCAACCGCTTGGTTTTCTTCAATTCGTAGTGCCGCCATTTGCCGTTCCAACACCACCGCTACCGCCGCTGTTGCAGGAGCATGTACACCCTTGAGAGCAGCCCATGCCTTTGGTCCTTTCTCTGGTTCACGCTGGAATGGCTTGATGTGACGGATCTGACTGCTCCCCAACGCTTGCCCAAGTAAGAGATAGCCTTGTGCGCTCTTCCGCACCCACGGGCTCTTCTCCGGGTCGTTCTCGGGGCGCTTCTCCGTTCCTTCCATCACCTCCAGCAGGTCATAGTGGTCAAAAATGTTCTCCATCTTGAAGGACCATTCAGCAAAGTTGTCACCGTTGAACTTGTCAAGCCCAAACACCCTAGGCTCATCCCTAGGTGGGCCAAGACTTGGTTGCATAGGCGCCATGGCTGAATCACGGGGTTGGCCTTGAGCTTGAGCTTCTCCACTGCCACCAGCACCTCTGCCACCCCTTTCCTCAGGTCCAGACATTGTCGAAAATGCTCCAAGGGGCTCTGATACCACTTGTTATAGTCACAATAGGCTTGAATGTGCCTAAAACGAAAGATAGAGAGCACAGACGGATTTCTGCACAGCGGCTTCAAACGTTGATAGCGTTCTGCTCACAGCTGCAAATGACTTGATTCAAATTGGATCTGGAGCGTCTTCACGTCGTCTACAATTAGCAATTTAGATTGCACGATTTGATAAAGAATTGACGACACAGCGTCGGTTTGAACGAACGGTACTATGGCAGCCACTATAGTCTTAGAACACAAGATAGGAAGAGTTACGAGTTGGGAATGACTCCCAGCTCCTACAAACCCCAAGAGCCGAGGTACAGTGATGTGGAACAGTGCCACACTGTCCCCAACCACGAAGGGTCTCGAAAATACCCTTCACTAGGGCCTACACCAAGTGAAATGTTACACTACACAAAGTAATGTAACTATCTTCAATATCTTGAGGTGTACCCTTTTTGGCGAGCTTCGAAATCACTTGAGGCTTGACACCAAGGCTCGGGCTCTTCATCACAAACTCATCCTTGAGTTCTTGATGGGTCTGCTGCACACACCTGCGACACGCCGAACGTTCGACACAGGACAAAATAGAAACCGCGCACGACAAAATAGAAACCGCGCGCGAGACACAAACGACCGCGTAACACGCGTCTATCGATAACTCGCTATTGACTCGACACACACACTCGACATCATGACTCAACATTCACACACAATTATAAGCATGAAATATATATTATCCCATGCCCTCATACCATTCCATACACACACACACATTCACGCACACGGACAATAAGCCGAGTGCAAACCGTAGGGTTGCACCAACAGCGGGGTGAGGGAAAGATGGAAAATAAGTCGGGGTGATGGAAAGCGGGATGGGGTGGGGTGATGGAAAGAGGGAGAATGGGGCGGGGTGATGGAAAGCAGGAGAATGGGGCGGGGTGATGGAAAGCGGGAGAATGGGGCGGGGTGATGGAAAGCGGGAGAATGGGGGGGGGTGATGGAAAGCGGGAGAATGGGGCGGGGCGATGGAAAGCGGGAGAATGGGGCGGGGCGATGGAAAGCAGGAGAATGGGGCGGGGTGATGGAAAGAGGGAGAATGGGGCGGGGCGATGGAAAGAGGGAGAATGGGGCGGGGAGATGGAAAGCGGGAGAATGGGGCGGGGTGATGGAAAGCGGGAGAATGGGGCGGGGTGATGGAAAGCGGGAGTATGGGGTGGGGTGATGGAAAGCGGGAGAATGGGGCGGGGTGATGGAAAGCGGGAGAATGGGGCTGGGTGATGGAAAGAGGGAGAATGGGGCGGGGTGATGGAAAGAGGGAGAATGGGGCGGGGTGATGGAAAGCGGGAGAATGGGGCGGGGTGATGGAAAGAGGGAGAACGGGGCGGGGTGATGGAAAGCGGGAGAACGGGGCGGGGTGATGGAAAGCGGGAGAACGGGGCGGGGTGATGGAATGCGGGAGAATGGGGTGGGGCGATGGAAAGAGGGAGAATGGGGCGGGGTGATGGAAAGCGGGAGAACGGGGTGGGGTGAAGGAGAGCGGGAGAATGGGGTGGGGTGATGGAAAGCGGGAGAATGGGGCTGGGTGATGGAAAGCGGGGGAATGGGGCTGGGTGATGGAAAGAGGGAGAATGGGGCGGGGTGGTGGAATGCGGGAGAATGGGGCGGGGTGATAGAAAGCGGGAGACTGGGGCTGGGGGATGGAAAGAGGGAGAATGGGGCGGGGTGATGGAAAGCGGTAGATTGGGGCGGGGTGATGGAAAGAGGGAGAATGGGGCGGGGTGATGGAAAGCGGGAGAATGGGGTGGGGTGATGGAAAGCGGGAGAATGGGACGGGGTGATGGAAAGCAGGAGAATGGGGTGGGGTGATGGAAAGAGGGAGATTAGGGCGGGGTGATGGAAAGCGGGAGAACGGGGTTTGGTGATGGAAATCGGGAGAATGGGGCGGGGTGATGGAAGGAGGGAGAATGGGGCGGGGTGATGGAAAGCGGGAGAATGGGGCGGGGTGATGGAAAGCGGAAGAATGGGGAGGGGCGATGGAAAGCGGGAGAATGAGGCGGGGTGATGGAAAGCGGGAGAATGGGTGGGGCGATGGAAAGAGGGAGAATGGGGCGGGGTGATGGAAAGCGGGAGAATGGGGCGGGGCGATGGAAAGCGGGAGAATGGGGCGAGGCGATGGAAAGCGGGAGATTGGGGCGGGGTGATGGAAAGCAGGAGAATGGGGCGGGGTGATGGAATGAGGGAGAATGGGGCGGGGTGATGGAAAGAGGGTGAATGGGGCGGGGTGATGGAAAGAGGGAGAATGGGGCTGGGTGATGGAAAGCGGGAGAATGGGGCTGGGTGATGGAAAGAGGGAGAATGGGGCAGTGTGATGGAAAGATGGCGAATGGGGCGAGGTGATGGAAAGCGGGAGAATGGGGCGCGGTGATGGAAAGAGGGAGAATGGGGCGGGGTGATGGAAAGAGGGAGAATGGGGCGGGGTGATGGAAAGCGTGAGAATGGGGCGGGGTGATGGAAAGCGGGAGAATGGGGCGGGGTGATGGAAAGCGGGAGAATGGGGCCGGGTGATGGAAAGCGGGAGAATGGGGCGGGGCGATGGAAAGCGGGAGAATGGGGCGGGGCGATGGAAAGCGGGAGAATGGGGCGGGGCGATGGAAAGAGGGAGAATGAGGCGGGGTCATGGAAAGCGGGAGAATGGGGCGGGGTTATGGAAAGCTGGAGAATGGGGCGGGGTGATGGAAAGCGGAAGAATGGGGAGGGGTGATGGAAAGCAGGAGAATGAGGCGGGGTGATGGAAAGCGGGAGAATGGGCGGGGCGATGGAAAGAGGGAGAATGGGGCGGGGTGATGGAAAGATGGAAAATAAGTCGGGGTGATGGAAAGCGGGATGGGGCGGGGTGATGGAAAGAGGGAGAATGGGGCGGGGTGATGGAAAGCGGGAGAATGGGGCGGGGTGATGGAAAGCGGGAGAATGGGGCGGGGCGATGGAAAGCGGGAGAATGGGGTGGGGCGATGGAAAGCGGGAGAATGGGGCGGGGCGATGGAAAGCGGGAGAATGGGGCGGGGCGATGGAAAGCGGGAGAATGGGGCGGGGCGATGGAAAGCGGGAGAATGGGGCGGGGCGATGGAAAGAGGGAGAATGGGGCGGGGCGATGGAAAGAGGGAGAATGGGGCGGGGTGATGGAAAGCGGGAGAATGGGGCGGGGTGATGGAAAGCGGGAGAATGGGGCGGGGTGATGGAAAGCGGGAGAATGGGGCGGGGTGATGGAAAGCGGGAGAATGGGGCAGGGTGATGGAAAGCGGGAGAATGGGGCGGGGTGATGGAAAGAGGGAGAATAGGGCGGGGTGATGGAAAGCGGGAGAATGGGGCGGGGTGATGGAAAGCGGGAGAATGGGGCGAGGCGATGGAAAGCGGGAGAATGGGGAGGGGTGATGGAAATAGGGAGAATGGGGCGGGGTGATGGAAAGTGGTCGATTGGGGCGGGGTGATGGAAAGAGGGAGAATGTGACGGGGTGATGGAAAGCGGGAGAATGGGGCGGGGTGATGGAAAGCGGGAGAATGGGGCGGGGTGATGGAAAGGGGGAGAATGGGGCGGGGTGATGGAAAGCGGGAGAATGGGGCGGGGTGATAGAAAGAGGGAGATTGGGGCGGGGTGATGGAAAGTGGGAGAATGGGACGGGGTGATGGAAAGAGGGAGAATGGGGCGGGGTGATGGAAAGCGGGAGAATGGGGTGGGGTGATGGAAAGCGGGAGAATGGGGCGGGGTGATGGAAAGAGGGAGAATGGGCGGGGCGAGAATGAGTCGACTCAAAACGCACCTCCATCTCTGTGTTGTATTGAGCCCCACGCACCTCTCCATCTCAGTGCCCTTGTCGCTCTGCCTCACGTGACTTGCGAGTCGACTCAAAACGCACCTCCATCCCTGTGTTGTATTGAGCCCCACGCACCTCTCCATCTCAGTGCCCTTGTCGCTCTGCCTCACGTGACTTGCGAGTCGACTCAAAACGCACCTCCATCCCTGTGTTGTATTGAGCCCCACGCACCTCTCCATCTCAGTGCCCTTGTCGCTCTGCCTCACGTGACTTGCGAGTCGACTCAAAACGCACCTCCATCCCTGTGTTGTATTGAGCCCCACGCACCTCTCCATCTCAGTGCCCTTGTCGCTCTGCCTCACGTGACTTGCGAGTCGACTCAAAACGCACCTCCATCCCTGTGTTGTATTGAGCCCCACGCACCTCTCCATCTCAGTGCCCTTGTCGCTCTGCCTCACGTGACTTTCGAGTCGACTCAAAACGCACCTCCATCCCAGTGTTGTATTGAGCCCCACGCACCTCTCCATCTCAGTGCCCTTGTCGCTCTGCCTCACGTGACTTGCGAGTCGACTCAAAACGCACCTCCTTCCCTGTGTTGTATTGAGCCCCACGCACCTCTCCATCTCAGTGCCCTTGTCGCTCTGCCTCACGTGACTTTCGAGTCGACTCAAAACGCACCTCCATCCCTGTGTTTTGTGTCAGAATGTTCTAATTGTCTAGCCTGCAGTGGGGTACTCTAAAGCGAGTACAACCCAATTAGGGTTTCCTATATGTATGCCAACTGCTGCTAGTGCAAACTCTCCTTTCTTCATTTCTGTTTCTCACTGCTAGTTTCTGACATGCTATCAGAGCAGGTCGACCCTCCTGGGTCGATCCTGTGGGTGGGCCCACCACCTCACTGCTTCCGCTACTACTGCTACTCTGTGTGTTGCACGCCCCGTGGCGTGCGACGGATTTTTCATCCCGCCGCGCGCTCGGAGCGTGCGGCGGTTTTCTGCCCGCCGTACGCCCCGAGGCGCGCGGCGGCTTTCTACCCCGTCACTCCGCGCGTCGCTCCCGGGAGGCGCTGCGACGGGCGACGGGGACCCGCGCGTCGCCCCCCGTCGCCCGTCGCGGCCTGCGCGACCTGCGTAGGGCCCGCGCGCGGCCCGTTCAGCCTGCGCGCGGCCCGTACGGGCTGCGCCAGGCCCGCGCGCGGCCCGTATGGGCTGCGCCAGGCCCGCGCGCGGCCCGTACGGGCAGCGCCAGGCCCGCGCGTGGCCCGTACGGGCTGCGCCAGGCCAGGGCGCGCCTCGGGCCGCCCGCGCGCGGTTCGTACGGGCTGCGCCAGGCCCGTGGGCGCCCTGTTTCCTCTTCTTCTGAGCTGCCCGCTGTCCCCCGTGCTTCTGACGGCGCCCCACCCCTGCTGCTGCCCGTTCTCCTGAATTAGGGTTTGGGGTGGGGGGTATGGGGGTGCAGTTTCTGTGTGCCGTCCCCTGCTCCTCCTCCTCCTCCGTCTCCCAGTGCTGCAGCTGCCGCTGAGGGGGTGGGATCTGTTGGAGCCGTCGGAGTGGTACTAAGGGGTGAAGGGGGAGTGGAGCTAGGGGTGAAGCAGGGGGTGTGTGTCAGGGGGGGTGGGACTGTTTGGGGAGGCTGAGAGGAGGCTGCCGTCTTGTCGTCCGCAGCACCTGTAGTCCGGGGCGCTGTCCTGGTAGCCCAGAGAGCCTGCTGCGCCTGTCGCCCGTGGGTCCGTTGCTCCTGTAGCTCCTCGTAGCCCGTGAGCCAGTTACTCCAGTAGTCCGGGGCGCTGTCCCGGTAGCCACTGTGCCAGCCGCTCCTGTTGCCCGTGTGTCTGCAGCTTCAGCCGTCGTCTCCCATCTTCTCTCCTCTCACAGTCCCTCCTCCTCCTCACTTGCCCGCTGTGACTACCACTAGCTTTGCTCATAATTGTGAACTACTGCTATGCTTGCTCATTGTGCTGATTACACCCCACTTTGGCTATGGGGGTGTGTCAGAATGTTATAATTGTCTAGCCTGCAGTGGGGTACTCTATAGCGAGTACAACCCAATTAAGGTTTCCTATATGTATGCCAACTGCTGCTAGTGCAAACTCTCCTTTCTTCATTTCTGTTTCTCACTGCTAGTTTCTGACATTTTGTACTGAGACATTTGTCCTACGACGTTTGTCCTACGGCGTTTGTTCTGCGACGTTTGTCCTGCGACGTTTGTCGTGCGACGTTTATCCTGCGACGTTTGTCCTGCGACGTTTGTCCTGCGACGTTTGTCCTGCGACGTTTGTCCTGCGACGTTTGTCCTGCGACGTTTGTCTGCGACGTTTGTCTGCGACGTTTGTCCTGCGATGATTGTCCTGCGACGTTTGTCCTGCGACGGTTGTCCTGCGACGTTTGTCCTGCGACGGTTGTCCTGCGACTTTTGTCCTGCGACGTTTGTCTTCGACGTTTGTCCTTCGACGTTTGTCCAGCGACGTTTGTCCAGCGACGTTTGTCCAGCGACGTTTGTCCTGCGACGTTTGTCCTGCCACGTTTGTCCTGAAACGTTTGTACTACGACGTTTGTCCTGCGACGTTTGTTATGCGACGTTTTTCCTTCGACGCTTGTACTGCGACGTTTGTCCTGAGACGTTTGTCCTAGGACGTTTGTCCAGCGACGTTTGTCCAGCGACGTTTGTCCTGCGACGTTTGTCCTGCGAAGTTTGTTCTGCGACGTTTGTCCTGCGGCGTTTGTCATGCGACGTTTGTACTAAAACGTTTGTCCAGCGACGTTTGTCCCGCGACGTTTGTCCAGCGACGTTTGTCCTACGGCGTTTGTTTTGCGACGTTTGACCTGCGACGTTTGGCCTGCAACGTTTGTCCTGCGACGTTTGTCCTGCGACGCTTGACCTGCGACGTTTGTCCTGCCACGTTTGTCCTGCGACGTTTGTCCTGCGACGTTTGTCCTGCGAAGTTTGTCCTGCGACGTTTGTCCTGCGACGTTTGTCATGCGACGTTTGTACTAAGACGTTTGTCCAGCGACGTTAGTCCAGCGACGTTTGTCCAGCGACGTTTGTCCTACGGCGTTTGTTTTGCGACGTTTGACCTGCGACGTTTGTCCTGCAACGTTTGTCCTGCGACGCTTGACCTGCGACGTTTGTCCTGCGACGTTTGTCCTGCGGCGTTTGTCCTGCGACGTTTGACCTGCGACGTTCGACCTGCGACGTTTGTCTGCGACGTTTGTCCTGCAACGTTTGTCCTACGACGTTTGACCTGCGAAGTTTGTCCTGCGACGTTTGTCCTGCGACATTTTTCCTGCGACGTTTGTCCTGCGGCGTTTGTCCTGCGACGTTTTTCCTGCGCCGTTTGTCCTTCGACGTTTGTCCTGCGACGTTTGTCCCGCTGTGTTCGTGCTGCGGCGTTTGTCCTGCGACGTTTGTCTTGCGACGTTTGTACTGAGACGTTTGTACTGAGACGTTTGTACTGAGACGTTTGTCCTGCGACGTTTGTCCTGCGACGTTTGTCCTGCGACGTTTGTCCGGCGACGTTTGTCCTGGACGTTTGACCTGCGCCGTTTGTCCTGCGACGTTTGTCCTGCGACGTTGTCCTGCGACGTTTGTCCTGCGGCATTTGTCCTGCGACGTTTGTCCTGCGACGTTTGTCCTGCGACGTTTGTCTTGCGGCGTTTGACCTGCGGCGTTTGTCCTGCGACGTTTGTCCAGCGACGTTTGTCCTACGACGCTTGACCTGCGACGTTTGTCCTGCGACGTTTGTCCTGCGGCGTTTGTCCTACAACGTTTGTCCTGCGACGTTTGTCCTGCGACGTTTGTCCTTCGACGTTTGTCCTGCGACGTTTGGACTGAGACGTTTGTCCTGCGACGTTTGTCCTACGACGTTTGTCCTGCGACGTTTGTCCTGCGACGCTTGTCCTGCAACATTTGTCCTGCTACGTTTGTCCTGTGACGTTTCTCTTACGACGTTTGTACTGAGACGTTTGTCCTGCGACGTTTGTCTGCGACGTTTGTCCTACGACGTTTGTACTGAGACGTTTGTCCTACGACGTTTGTCCTACAACGTTTGTCCTGCGACGTTTGTCCTGCGACGTTTGTCCTGCGATGTTTGTCCTGCGATGTTTGTCTTGCGACGTTTGTCCTGCGACGTTTGTACTGAGACGTTTGTCCTACGACGTTTGTCCTGCAACGTTTGTCCTGCGACGTTTGTCCTGCGACGTTTGTCCTGCGACGTTTGTCCGGCGACGTTTGTCCTTCGACGTTTGTCCTGCGACGTTTGTCCTGCGACGTTTGTCCTGCCACGTTCGTCCTGCCGCGTTCGTCCTGCGGCGTTTGTCCTGCGGCGTTTGTCATGCGACGTTTGTCTTGCGACGTTTGTCTTGCGACGTTTGTACTGGGACGTTTGTCCTGCGATGTTTGTCCTGCGACGTTTGTACTGAGACGTTTGTACTGCGACGTTTGTTCTGCGACGTTTGTCCTTCGACGCTTGTCCTGCGACGTTTGTCCTGAGACGTTTGTCCTGAGACGTTTGTCCAGCGACGTTTGTCCAGCGACGTTTATCCTGCGACGTTTGTCCTGCGAAGTTTGTCCTGGGACGTTTGTCTTGCGATGTTTGTACTAAGACGTTTGTCAAGCGACGTTTGTCCGGCGACGTTTGTCCGTCGACGTTTGTCCATCGGCGTTTGTTTTGCGACGTTTGACCTGCGACGTTTGGCCTGCGACGTTTGGCCTGCGGCGTTTGTCCTGCGACGCTTGACCTGCGACGCTTGTCCTGCGACGTTTGTCCTGCGATGTTTGTCCTGCGGTGTTTGTCCTGCGACGTTTGTCCTGCGACGTTTGTCCTGCGACGTTTGTCCTGCGGCGTTTGTCCTGCGGCGTTTGTCCTGCGGCGTTTGTCCTGCGGCGTTTGTCCTGCGGCGTTTGTCCTGCGGCGTTTGTCCTGCGGCGTTTGTCCTGCGGCGTTTGTCCTGCGACGTTTGTCCTGCGACGTTTGTCCTGCGACGTTTGTCCTGCGACGTTTGTCCTGAGACGTTTGCCATGCGACGTTTGTCCTGCGACGTTTGTCCATCGGCGTTTGTTTTGCGACGTTTGACCTGCGACGTTTGGCCTGCGACGTTTGTCCTGCGACG